CCAGACCACACACTAGAAAGTGAAAGGACAACGACGTTTCGGTCCATCCTGGACCATTCTCAAGTCGACCATTCACAATCGACTTGAGAATGGTCCAGGACGGACCGAAACGTCGTCGTCGTCGTCCCTTCACCTTCTAGTGTGTGGTCTGGTCAACTTATGAAGATGTGATCCCACGTGTTGTGTAGGGTCAGTAGTTCAACCTTGGGGAAGCCTTTACATCAGCCTTACTTAATGGCGGAGATGAAGGACAAGAGGGGTACTGCAAGACAAGAGGGGGAGAGGAGAGGGAGGAAGTGGGGAGAGGAGAGGCAGTGGGGAGAGGAGAGGCAGTGGGGAGAGGAGAGGAAGTGGGGAGAGGAGAGGCAGTGGGGAGAGGAGAGGCAGTGGGGAGAGGGGTGGAATGGGAGGGTTGAGAAACTATCCCGGGTACCCCCCCCCCCTTCCAGTACAATATAACAATCACCTCAGTTTCATTCATGACCCTCGAATCATGGGATGCAGAATTAGACAAAAATGCTCCACCAGACCGACTGTACGAGCGTTCGAGGGGCTCAGGCAAGCTTGCCCTGGGACCTGGAGCAAGCTTGCCGCGTCCTGCGCCTTGACCCGTTCAACAGCCTGGTTGACCGGTCCATCAACCAGGAGGCCTGGGGCCAGATTCACGAAAGCACTTACGAACGTGTACATCTTTCCTCAACCTTTGACGGCTTTGATTACAATTATTAAACAGTTTACAAGCATGAAAACTTCCCATTCAACTGTTGTTATTATTATAAACATCCTCCTGGTGCTTCGGAGCTCATTAACTGTTTAATGTGTGTAAAGAAAGCCGCCAAAGATTGAGAAAAGATGTACAGGTTCGTAAGTGCTTGCGTAAGTGCTTTCGTGAATCTGGCCCCTGGTCAGAGACCGGGCCGGGGAGATCTTGACCCCCAGAATCAACACAAGGTGACCTACCCAACAATAACCGGAAAATGAACTTCAACTTCGATAAATGTAAAGTAATGTATTTGAGGTACTCTAAAACGCAACATAACTGTATTCAGCTCCTTGAGAAAAGCTGGAGATGGTTACATCCGAAAATGTACTTTTTTAATACATTTACACATGTAGTGGGTCTTTCCTTCACCTTCATAACAACACATCAGATATTTTATTAAAAAAAAATGAGGAAAGGCCTTAGAGCGGTGTTCAATAAGGCTGAGCTCATGTGCACAAAGCAATGAGTAACGAAGCAAGTCAACAGATCTATACGTTTCATAGTATCATGCGCTTCATAGTATCATACACTTCATAGTATCACACACGTCACATTCACACACTTCATGTTCATACACACGAGTATAAGATGTCAGAAATACCAGGGGTCTGGCCTCCCCATCACCCCTTCAACGCCTACTGACCCATTTCCCCCCATTCCTTCAACGGCGGACTGGCCCCTTCACTCATCAAGTAGTTAGACGCGGTACATGGAATGTTGCCAGCGAGAAATGATGGTATGGTTGTGAAGGGAGGTAACGACCACACAAATAAGGGGAACTACTTCAACACAGTCCACTGTTAAACTACTGTCATGTTATCAAAACCATTTAAAGCCTTTAAACAAAAAATAAGTGTTCATAGGTCGCTTTTATGTCATTACAATTCCAAAAGCCAAGTTTGTTTACATTTACCTAGACTAAATGTGTTGTAAATACTTTCTCCTGTGAGCCATTGTGGTAGTGCTGGTAGCAGCGTAAGTAAATATTATTTAGCCGTGTTAAGCATGTGATAAACCTAGGCATGTAGTAATTAGAGTTCATGGCCCAAGGAGACGGACAGGACAGGAGAGACCAGACGCTGCTTGTGGTATACAGATCTTGTTTCGCCCCGAGGGGGACTTGTGCCAACACTCCATAAACCCAAGTTCAGGCTCTCAAGACCTGGGTTCATGGAGAAGATCACTCAGACGCTGCGGAACCATCTGAGCTTCTCAGATGGTTATTCGTGCTTATGGCAACTAAAATATCCGCCATTAAATTACAGTACTATATGATATTTAGATATATCCTTTTATTCTGTGCATTTTGTGAACATTTAATCAAATTCTGGTGTAAAATAACAAAGATAATAGGTCTTAACCCTTAGACAATGGCAGACATCATAGGACTTGGTGGTTCAACCGAGATATATATATGCGAATTATGGTGTATTCAGTTTAATATATTTGTTTAATTTGGATTTTGTTTTAAATCCCTATAATTGCCCAAGTCTCTGGTTAATATATTACCTAATCAAATTAAAAAAAGTCAGATAAAATATATAATTAGCTGGCAACGCTAGTAGGTTATCTTGAGGTTATCTTGAGATGATTTCGGGGCTTTTTTTTTTTTTAGTGTCCCCGCGGCCTGGTCCTCGACCAGGCCTCCACCCCCAGGAAGCAGCCCGTGACAGCTAACTAACACCCAGGTACCTATTTTACTGCTAGGTAACAGGGACATTAAAATAGGTGGTATTATTCATATTTTGAGAGCTGTCGTCGGTAAAATAAAAATTACTTGACAAAAGCAAAATAAAATTGACTTTAGGACTTGGCCGATTTCTTTTAAATAACGCTAAGATGCAGTTGACAATTTAAAGGCTTTCTTGTGCTCGCGCAAAACAAGAGCCGAAATATATTACAAGTCGTTGAAGGGCTCCTAAATACTGAACGCCACACAATACTTCTCTAGACTAGTCGCATGCGTTAAGAGAGATTATATCCTCTTAAAACATGTTGAACTAGTGAGCAAGTGCGTGGCCAGGCCGGGGTGCAGTACCGTCCAGAGGGGAAGGGGGGGGGGGGGACGGGAGAGGCAGTTGACCTTGGTGTTGGGTGTGCTGCTACACCCCCACCACGCCCCCCCCCCTACCCCTCTGGGAGGGGGGGAGGGGGGTCAATACACTCCCCTCCTTGTCCTCTCTTCCTGCCCCGTTTATTATCATCACTTATCATCGTCATCATCATCATTAGGCTACCAGACTTCATATTTTCTTATGGCTTCCATTGCTGTTACTATTGATAAGGTTATTATATTTAATTTACTATTTGCAGATTTCTTTTAACCGAGTGTGATAAATACATTCTGCATCCCTTTTACGTTGGCTCTTAAAAAAATAGGTTAAAGCAGCCTCGTTTTCCCTCCGACAATCTCAAATTTGGAAAGAAGGATCTTACTACAAACCGAGGTAACTTGCGAAGTAATCTTAAAACGATCGTGTGTGCGTGACTTGAAGGGCCGCTGTTATGGTATGTTCGTCTTGCCTTGCGTCACTTTCTGGTCATAGTCAGACAAAGACCATCAGGCACTCACGAGGTTGAAAGGGAAGGAGGAAATGGAATTTACTTCGCTCCTTCTGGGTTTCTTCAACCCCGCGGTTTGCCCTTACCAACGGAAGCTTTCAAACATAAGACAAGCATTTAGAAGCCAAAACAAATACTCATTTAGACGCTCCACGTGTCCTACGAGGCCAGTGCTAGAAGACGGAGAGCTGGCCTGGAGTCCGCATCACGCGAAGCACAAGTATGCAGCAATACTAAAGCCTGAAATTAATAAAAACGTAGACACGAAAACAGGTTAAAGAGAATAGATCTCCTTATTTCAAAGAAACCAAAGGGGGGAGACATTATCATACTGACAACAGTGAGGGGGAGGCAGGTTAAACTTTAACCCACTCTTCATACCAAGACAAAAAAATAATAAAACGACATTTAGAATCAAGAACTTCAAAGTCTAAGGAATGTCAGGAAATTCATTTTTTTCCTACCGAAGACATTGTCACACATTTTATGCAGTGGTAGCTAGCATACATAAATGTCCATATCCTACATACTGAGGAACGCGCCGAGAGAAGTGGAAGCCACCTCCAGCCACAGATACAACCGAGAACTCGAGCGTCAGACAGCTTAAGAACGCGTTAGATACCTCAAGGTTATGTGACCTTACTTCCTCTAGTTACTGTTCGACAAGGACGCCACATACTGTAGTTTGGGTTCGTTGTTCCTCGCAGAAGATCAGTGCTGCCTCAGAACAACATTCCACACCTCAAAGAAATAGCTGGATTTTGCAGTTGCGTTGATTCCGGGGGCCAAGATCCTCGACCCCGCGGAATGGTTCTTCGTGCTATATAGTCGTAACGGTTTGGCGCTTTCCCCCCCTGATAGTTCCCTCCCTCCCCGTGGCCCGGGTTCAGACCAGGCCTCATTGGTCAAATGCTCCTTGTAGCGGTAGGGGAGGGAACCCCTGGGGAACCCATGCCTGTAGAGGAACCAGGTATCAACCAGCTGGTGCTACAGGCATGGTGCCTGCTTTTGATATTGGCTTACTCTTGTAGCATGACTGACGTCTGTCTAATACTGGTCGACTTAAACAGATATCTAATGAAAATCTCACTTACCTAACAAATTCACAAAGGCCTGAAAGTTTTAGCATTAAACATTAAGATAAATATTGTGAGGAGACGTTTATATATATATGGAACTAATAGAGCAAGAACTCGGCAATGTGATGTTATAGTGGCCAGAATACGCCTGAGATATAGACGTATCTGGCAGCTTTCTCAAAACCCAAATGTCGAATACACCATGTGTCACCTTTGTGAAAGTGTCGAATACACCATGTGTCACCTTTGTGAAAGTGTCGAATACAACATGTGTCACCTTTGTGAAAGTGTCGAATACACCATGTGTCAACTTTGTGGAAGTGTCGACTACCCCATGTGTCAACTTTGTGAAAGTGTCGACTACCCCATGTGTCAACTTTGTGAAAGTGTCGACTACCCCATGTGTCAACTTTGCGAAAGAGAAAACATGCACTCCCCCTCGCTCAAGTGTGTGTGTTCTTCCCTCTGGACCTCCCTCCCTACCTCAGAAATACACCTCTGTGATCCAGAGGTGTGAGAAACGCCCCCCCCCCCGGGGGAGGGGGGGGGGGAAGGGGGCGCCGCACCCTCAGACAGAAACACGAAGGAACACTCACGTGCAGAGGGCGATGCCGTCCTTAAGGGCGTGCCCGAAGGCCAGCTGGTCGATGAGGCCGTCGGAGGTGGGCCAGTCCAGGGGCACCTCCGTCACCGCCTCCACCCACTCACACGCCTCCCGGGCACGCTGCAGGTCGAACTTGGCCTGGCTCTGTGGGTACAAGGAGTGGGGGTCAGTATTATTATAGTTGGGGGGGGTCAGTATTATAGTGGGGGAGTCAGTATTATTACAGTGGGGGGGGTCAGTATTATTACAGTGGGGGGGTCAGTATTATAGTGGGGGGGGGTCAGTATTATTACAGTGGGGGGGGTCAGTATTATAGTGGGGGGGGTCAGTATTATAGTGGGGGGGGTCAGTATTATTACAGTGGGGGGGTCAGTATTATTATAGTGGGGGGGTCAGTATTATTATAGTGGGGGGGTCAGTATTATTATAGTGGGGGGGGTCAGTATTATAGTGGGGGGGTCAGTATTATTACAGTGGGGGGGGGGGGTCAGTATTATAGTGGGGGGGTCAGTATTATAGTGGGGGGGGTCAGTATTATTACAGTGGGGGGGGTCAGTATTACAGTGGGGGGGGTCAGTATTATAGTGGGGGGGTCAGTATTATTATAGTGGGGGGGGTGTCAGTATTATTATAGTGGGGGGGGGGTGTCAGTATTATTATAGTGGGGGGGGTCAGTATTATTATAGTGGGGGGGGTCAGTATTATTATAGTGGGGGGGGTGTCAGTATTATTATAGTGGGGGGGGGTCAGTATTATTATAGTAGGGGGGGTCAGTATTATTATAGTGGGGGGGGTCAGTATTATTATAGTGGGGGGGGTCAGTATTATTATAGTGGGGGGGGTCAGTATTATTATAGTGGGGGGGTCAGTATTATTATAGTGGGGGGGGGTCAGTATTATTATAGTGGGGGGGGGTCAGTATTATTATAGTGGGGGGGTCAGTATTATTATAGGGGGGGGGGGTCAGTATTATTATAGGGGGGGTCAGTATTATTATAGTGGGGGGGGGGTATCAGTATTATTATAGTGGGGGGTCAGTATTATTATAGTGGGGGGGTCAGTATTATTATAGTGGGGGGGTCAGTATTATTATAGTGGGGGGGTCAGTATTATTATAGTGGGGGGGGGTCAGTATTATAGTGGGGGGGTCAGTATTATTATAGTGGGGGGGTCAGTATTATTATAGTGGAGGGGGGGTCAGTATTATTATAGTGGGGGGGTCAGTATTATTATAGTGGGGGGGGGGTCAGTATTATTATAGTGGGGGGGGTCAGTATTATTATAGTGGGGGGGGGTCAGTATTATTATAGTGGGGGGGTCAGTATTATAGTGGGGGGGTCAGTATTATAGTGGGGGGGTCAGTATTATTATAGTGGGGGGGTCAGTATTATTATAGTGGGGGGGTCAGTATTATTATAGTGGGGGGGGTCAGTATTATTATAGTGGGGGGTCAGTATTATTATAGTGGGGGGGGGGTCAGTATTATTATAGTGGGGGGGGTCAGTATTATTATAGTGGGGGGGTCAGTATTATTATAGTGGGGGGGTCAGTATTATTATAGTGGGGGGGGTCAGTATTATTATAGTGGGGGGGGGTCAGTATTATTATAGTGGGGGGGGTCAGTATTATTATAGTGGGGGGGGGGGTCAGTATTATTATAGTGGGGGGGGGGGTCAGTATTATTATAGTGGGGGGGGGGTCAGTATTATCTTGTAGGTGGTTATTACACCGCCCCCCCCCCCTACAAGTCCATACACCAAAGCACCCCCCCACAATTCTACAGGTCATACACTAGACCACTCCCCCCCCCCCCAACATACAAGTTATACACCCCCCCCCCCTTCCTCTTACTATACAGGTCATTACAGCCTATACCGAACTACCTCAAATCTCTCAATCCAACACCGGTATACTCTCTGATGCTCAACCTCAACCATCAACCCGTCCTCCTGATAGAGCGTCGCATGTTGACCTATACTCTCCCTAACGCCACAAATTGTCGTACTAGAAAATGGCAGCGGCTCGCGAGATTAACAAACTGTCCCGTTTTCTGTTTTGGGTCCTCTGGTAGGTTAGGATAAAGGTACTTTAGTACTGTGGTTTCTTGACGCTGGCGTGAACGGGCTGAACCAGTACCCTAACCACCTGATAAACAGGTTACCATCACTCCTTAGATCGTAAACAGAAGAGTTGAACGATACCAATACAGCCTTAACTACTTTCCTGAAACAGTGCTCGTCTGGAAGGGGTGCAGGAGGGGTCTTGGGGCTCGGGGGCCAGGAAGGGGGGTCAGGGGGGGCCTGGGGGGTCAGGGGGGCTGGGGGGGGGCAGGAGGGGTCTTGGGGCTCGGGGGGCAGGAGGGGGTCAGGGGGAGGAGAACACCAAACTCGTACCCAACAGCAACAGTCAAGACGTTCACACCGTTGCCAGACAAGATCCTGAGGTCTGGGTATGATTGCAGGGATATTTAGGTCTCCCTCAGGTGTCAGGATGACCTCACGGTGGAAGTGAGCGCTGCTTTACCAGGATGGAAGAGTGGGTGGGAGGGAGTTTATCATTCATGCCTGATAAACTTTATCGAGTTCTATGACAGCCTTGCTAAAATATGGTTGGTGTTCCAACGGGAGGGAGAGAGGGAGGGAGCGAGGGAGGGAGCGAGGGAGGGAGCGAGGGAGGGAGCGAGGGAGGGAGCAAGGGAGGGAGCGAGGGAGGGAGCGAGGGAGGGAGCGAGGGAGGGAGCGAGGGAGGGAGCGAGGGAGGGAGCGAGGGAGGGAGGGAGCGAGGGAGGGAGGGAGCGAGGGGGGAGGGAGGGAGCGAGGGGGAGGGAGGGAGGGAGGGAGGGAAGCGAAGGAGGGAGGGAGCGAAGGAGGGAGGGAGCGAGGGAGGGAGGGAGCGAGGGAGGGAGGGAGCGAGGGAGGGAGGTAGCGAGGGAGGGAGGGAGCGAGGGAGGGAGGGAGCGAGGGAGGGAGGGAGCGAGGGAGGGAGGGAGCGAGGGAGGGAGCGAGGGGGAGGGAGGGAGCGAGGGAGGGAGGGAGCGAGGGAGGGAGCGAGGGAGGGAGCGAGGGAGGGAGCGAGGGAGGGAGCGAGGGAGGGAGGGAGCGAGGGAGGGAGGGAGCGAGGGAGGGAGGGAGCGAGGGAGGGAGGGAGCGAGGGAGCGAGGGATGGAGCGAGGGAGCGAGGGATGGAGCGAGGGAGCGAGGGATGGAGCGAGGGAGCGAGGGATGGAGCGAGGGAGCGAGGGATGGAGCGAGGGAGCGAGGGATGGAGCGAGGGAGCGAGGGATGGAGCGAGGGAGCGAGGGATGGAGCGAGGGGAGCGAGGGATGGAGCGAGGGAGCGAGGGATGGAGCGAGGGAGCGAGGGATGGAGCGAGGGAGCGAGGGATGGAGCGAGGGGAGCGAGCGAGGGATGGAGCGAGGGAGCGAGGGATGGAGCGAGGGAGCGAGGGATGGAGCGAGGGAGCGAGGGATGGAGCGAGGGAGCGAGGGATGGAGCGAGGGAGCGAGGGAGCGAGCGAGGGAGCGAGGGATGGAGCGAGGGAGCGAGGGATGGAGCGAGGGAGCGAGGGATGGAGCGAGGGAGCGAGGGATGGAGCGAGGGATGGAGCGAGGGATGGAGCGAGGGATGGAGCGAGGGAGGGGGGAGCGAGGGAGGGAGGGAGGGAGGGAGGGAGGGAGGGAGGGAGGGAGGGAGGGAGGGAGCGAGGGAGGGAGGGAGCGAGCGAGGGAGCGAGGGAGCGAGGGAGGGAGGGAGCGAGGGAGGGAGGGAGCGAGGGAGCGAGGGAGGGAGCGAGGGAGCGAGGGAGGGAGCGAGGGAGCGAGGGAGCGAGGGAGCGAGGGAGGGAGCGAGGGAGGGAGCGAGGGAGGGAGCGAGCGAGGGAGGGAGCGAGCGAGGGAGGGAGGGAGGGAGGGAGGGAGGGAGGGAGCGAGGGAGGGAGGGAGGGAGGGAGGGAGGGAGGGAGCGAGGGAGGGAGGCAGGGAGGGAGGGAGGGAGGGAGGGAGGGAGGGAGGGAGGGAGGTAGGGAGGGAGGGAGCGAGGGAGGGAGGGAGCGAGGGAGGGAGGGAGGGAGGGAGGGAGGGAGCGAGGGAGGGAGCGAGGGAGGAGGGAGCGAGGGAGGGAGGGAGGGAGCGAGGGAGGGAGCGAGGGAGGGAGGGAGCGAGGGAGGGAGGGAGGGAGGGAGGGAGGGAGGGAGGGAGCGAGGGAGGGAGGGAGGGAGGGAGGGAGGGAGGGAGCGAGGGAGGGGAGGGAGGGAGGAGGAGGGAGGGAGGGAGCGAGGGAGGGAGGGAGGGAGGGAGCGAGGGAGGCAGCGAGGGAGGGAGCGAGGGAGGGAGCGAGGGAGGGAGCGAGGGAGGGAGGGAGGGAGCGAGGGAGGAGGGGAGCGAGGGAGGGAGGGAGGGAGGGAGGGAGCGAGGGGAGGAGAGGGAGCGAGGGAGGGAGGGAGGGAGCGAGGGAGGGAGGGAGGAGGGAGGGAGGGAGGGAGGGAGGGAGGGAGCGAGGGAGGGAGGGAGCGAGGGGGGAGGGAGGGAGGGAGGGAGAGGGAGGGAGGGAGGGAGGGAGGGAGGGAGGGGAGGGAGGGAGGGAGGGAGGAGCGAGGGAGGAGCGAGGGAGGGAGGGAGAGCGAGGGAGGGAGGGAGCGAGGGAGGGAGCGAGGGAGGGAGCGAGAGGAGAGGGAGCGAGGGAGGGAGGGAGGGAGCGAGGGAGGGAGGGAGCGAGGGAGGGAGGGAGCGAGGGAGGGAGGGAGCGAGGGAGCGGAGGGAGGGAGGGGGGGGGGAGCGAGCGAGGGAGGGAGGGAGCGAGGGAGGGAGCGAGGGAGGGAGCGAGGGAGGGAGCGAGGGAGGGAGCGAGGGAGGGAGCGAGGGAGGGAGGGAGGGAGGGAGGCGAGGAGGGAGGGAGGGAGGGAGGGAGGGAGGGAGGGAGGGAGGGAGCGAGGGAGGGAGGGAGGGAGGGAGCGAGGGAGCGAGCGAGGGAGCGAGGGAGGGAGCGAGGGAGGGAGCGAGGGAGGGAGGGAGGGAGCGAGGGGAGGGAGGAGGGAGGGAGGGAGGGAGAGGGAGGGAGCGAGGGAGCGAGGGAGGGAGCGAGGGAGGGAGCGAGGGAGCGAGGGGGGAGCGAGGGAGGGAGGGAGGGAGGGAGGGAGGGAGCGAGGGA